ACCCTGCCCCAGCCGTGGGGGTGGGGAGGAGGCCGGTCGCTCTGGGGGAATTTCCAAGCTGGCCTCCACCTGCCCCTCTTGGCCAGGACATCCAGCTGGGTGGGGCCGGAGGGAGGTAAGGGCCAGCAGAGGCGCTCAAGGTCAGAGAAATGAGGGTGTTCCAGGTCGTGGGCGGGAAGGGGCCGACCCCGGAGCAAGGCTCGAACCCCCAGGACAGCCAGGGTTTGGAGTGGCCCTGCGTGATCAGGGACCCTCCTCCAACTGTGTGGTCTGGGTGTGTCCTCAGCGGCTGCCCAGCCCCGCCTTGGGCACCCATGCACCCCGATCACAGCAACTGATGCCCAATCTGTGGGTCCCCAGCACCACCTAAATGAGGAAACAGGGTCAGTCCGGGGGGCTGGGGGCTGAACCCCCTGGCCAAACCGAGGAAGCACCCCCTTTGGCCGCCCAAAGGCTCCTGCGTTCCTCCATTTCCACCCTCACCCCTCCCACCCCTCAGCCTTCTGGAGGCCGAAGGAGGCAGGAGGGCTAGGGGACACGCTTTCCCTGCCCCCAAGAGAGGCCCCGCGCTGGCACAGCTCCAGGACTGGGGGCTCACTGCCCCTTGGGGTGGCTTTCCTGGAGAAGGCTTCGAGCTGATGACTGTCCCTCCCTGTCACCCCTACCGAGCCACGCTGGGTCCCCGGGACACATCGAATGGGCTGCTCTCCGACTACCGGCCTACCTTGCCTGTCCCCAGGTCTCTTCTGGCTGGGTGCCCCCGCCCAGGGCTGTGGGCCCTGCCTCCCACCCTGTGACACGCACATCTGGGGGTGCGGGTACACGCCCTGGGGGAGAGTCCAGGGGCACAGAACAAACAGTCCCTTCTGCAGAGCTGCAGGAACGTGGCCTGCGGTCCCACCAGGTGGCTGGGCCCAGGGCCTTCCCAGCCACGTCCTCTGCCACACACAGGGACCAGTGGGTCCCAGGGTCGCCAGCCGGGCCTGAGGCTGGTCTCCGGCTGCTTCAGAGTTAGAGGTCCCAGGGGATGACTCCCCCACCCCTGCCCACAGTTCGGCCAGGCCACCCCCTTGACGGCCCCCGCCCGCCCCTGGGCCTCCTGTTTATTCGCTGACAGCTCCCTGTTATCAGCGGGGAACACACACAGGAAGTCCGGCCGGGAAGGGCCCATCCCAATCCTGATTTACACGGGACGGTGCATAAAAAGCCGCCCTTCCTTGCCCGGGAGGAGCCTCCCTGCCCTGACGGCTGCCCGCAGAGCCGAGAGGGAAGCTCCAGGGGGCAGGCCAGGCGGGCGGCCTCCGGAGGTGCCTCGGGGCGGCAGGACAGGGCTGGGGTCCACCTCTGGCCCCCCGGAGGCAGCGATGGTGGCCACGGCCAAGCCCGGGCCTGGGCAATATCAGGTACGGCAGGGGTGACGTCGGGGGGGGGGCAGGGAGCGG